GGCTGTTTGAAAGGTTTTCTTCCATAAAATTAATCGATTCTAGACTAATTTGACTCAACATTTCCAAAACACGTATAATTTTTTGGGAATAATCCGTATAAACTATGCTATAAACAAAAAATTGTAGGATTACTTACTGAGTGTGCACTGTTTGATGACACCATTGCTTAAGCTTGTTTTTGTCGCGGAGCAGCACACCAAACAGCGGGCGCATTTTCTAATAAGTTCTTTTTCTGCGAAAAATTCACTGAACTTTGGAGACATCATTAATAGAAATAATTTTTATGGCTGTTGAATAAAAAATGTTTTTTTCACAAGAAATGTATAAAATTACAGTACTGTATTAGACTTACAGTACCTAATCTATATACTGTACAGACGATAGTTAACTCAACTTATCCGCCTAAACTCTCCGTAGCGTGTAAGTAGTTTGGCTGCTCATCCACTATTGGTTCAGATTTGACCAATTGTGTCACGACATGAGTCAGTGATGATGTTTTACTGTATTTTATGAGTCTCTTTTAGCGTCTTTATACAAATACGGTTGCAATTTTTTTGCCGCGATATATGAATTTGCATTGTATGAACCTGCGTTATAGGGTGGTCTACTGTATATGTAGAAAATCAAGCCTAACTTATTCTAACAACAAATGACATTGCCAGATTAACTTCTGGATTATAATTTGGCTAATTAATGTAATAAATACTATTAAATTTGGACAGAAGATAGGAAGTTAAGCTGCCATTTTGTACTATATTTAATAATTAAATTTATTTTGAATTAAATAATTTAGACTATTCTAGAATGAAAAATCAATCTAGAATGGAATCCAAACTTGCAACTTTTGTTACTATGCAAGTGTGTAGCCAATTATGCTGCTCAGACTTCTGTTTGATCTTCCATGACAACTAATTAATGTAAGAGAGATAACCATACAGGTCATATCTAGTTTTTATATGTATGGGTATCTCTTAACCTTTTATCCACACAAACAAGAAATTTTCATGTCTGTATTTTTGGTAGTACTGGCCCTTCTGAGAATGTTTTGTACTTAAATTGATTACTTACTATTCATTAAAATTTTAATTTTTATCATAAGAATTTATAAGAATAATGGTAAAAATGCATTAATATCAAAACAATGAAATAAAGATTATCACATAATGTATCATCTAAGAAAAAATAAAATAATCAAAGTTATTCTTAATTTTTAATTATCTTAGTAAACATCTTTCAACAAATTGTAGTAAATGGAAAAGTACTTATTGCATGCAAATAAAATTCTTAGGCATATCATACACATTTCATAAGAGATAAACAATAAAAACATCATAAATGTCCTGTGTTAATGGTTTCCCACATCAGTTGTTTTTCTCTCCAAGTCCCACCAAAAACAATAGATTGAGGTTTCACTATATACAGTACATAGAAGATATACAAAGAAGCTTACTTCTCTTGGTTTGATATATGAGGTGTGACAATAAAGTTTAGTGAATGTTCCCATATATCAGATGCAGCAAATATCAGCAATGAGGGTATTGTACAATGACAATATATCTAAAAAATCTTCCAGCATTCAAAACACCAAGCCCATAACTGTTGTAGAACCATGAGCATGCACTGACAGGTCATTTAGTACAGAGGTGCCCAACCTTTTTGTTTCTCTGAACCATATTGGAAGAAGTATTCAAATTTTGGGCCACAAGTATTAATATATTATATATACTTGTGGCCCAATCCTTAAATATACTTGTATATTTAATATGTCATGATTATAGTAATAAGTATTAAAACTTTATCACGAAAAAGGCTATTTTAAAAAATTACTTCTACAGACACTTTCAATTTTTACTTAGAAATAAATAAATTCATTTATTATAAAGGAGACAAACAAAAATTTATTTGAAAAACACAAATATTTATTTTATTTGGGTCTCTAATTAATAAAAAGTGGCAAAACGTCATTTTAAAATGCATTTTTATTCAACTAATATATTTATAAATAATATGTAGCCCAAAACGTAGCCAATGCATCAAATGATATTTTTTATGCCAAACTAAAAAAGGATAGCCAAATTTGGCACAAAGTAGCCAAATCTTGTAATGCTGGAAGGAATACTAAATGAAACTGGAGTTGGGACTCAAGGGATTATAGACCCAAATGCGGGGAAAGGAGAGAAAGGACAAAAGATAAAGAAATGAGGAAGGTTGGAAAATTAAGGGTCAATATTTGCATAACAGAAGGTCTATTTAACCTTTCTTACTACTTTTTATCTTATGGCCTTCCTCTCCTTTCCCCGAATTTGAGTCTATACTCCTTTGAGTCACAACTCTAGCTTTATTTAGTATTCCTTCCTCATTCATACATTTCCAAGTATTTGAAAATATTTCCTTTCCACTCAAAATAAAATATGTATAAAGGTTTATGGCTTTGTAAAATTTCTTTTTTGAGTTTATGCTGTTGAAATAAAAAAATATAAAAAAATAAAAAGTTTGTCAGTTTTGTTTACATGTTTATTGGGCTGTATTGGAACTTGGCTTGGGCTGTGGGTTTGACACTCCTGATTTAGTGCTTACTTTCGTGAACAACAACAAAGCAAAGACTAATATCGAATTATGTTGTAAACTAGATAAAATGGTCACAGAGATGCACAAATTATTAAAAAAATCTTACAAGAATGCTGTAAGTAAAAAGTGTGTATGATTGGTTTGCATGCTTCCACTAATGAAAACAATTGTTAGATGATCAATCCAATCTTGGTCATCCTTTGACAAGCAGAAATCCTGACACTGTTGAATATGTACAACAGGTGATATCAAATGATTGTCAATTGACTGTTTGGTTGATTGTAAAAGAATTAAGAATTAACTAAGAAATAGTACATATTGTGAGACTACGAACGATGTTTTTATTTTTTCACTAACTGCGTAGTTAGTGAGGGTGACTTTCGTCGTCCGAAGGTCATCGACGAGGGACCACGATGTCATGTGACCTCCATACGTCCGAGCGACTGGGCAATAAAATGACCATATAAGGGAATAAATTTCTCTACGATGGGGGAGACTGTCATAAATCAAGAGAACTGTCAAAAAGACGTCAACAAATTCCAGGTTTTTCCCACGCTGATCGGGTATATAAAGGGGTCGGATTTTCTACTCGGGGCTGAGCCAGGGCGCTTAAGCCGAAGAAACCCCTCTGCACACCTCAAGAGCAATCGTCGGGGAAGAAACATCGACGCACGATCTTCCAGCACTCTCAGGATCTACGAAGCTCATAATCGCCGCTCCATGCAAAGGTAAAATCTTTGAATATTTTTCTATTCTCCTGATACGACGGAATTACTCCTTGAAGAGGTTAACAGAAGAAACCTCCGAGCGAACTTCGCCAAGGAAGAACTCTCTACAGATTAGGAGCGACGGAGCATACACCATAACCGGACATAGCCGCACGGCCTGAGAAGGACACCTCGGATTAGAAGACAACGATCACAGAGTGTTTTATCAACGCCCTATAATTGGAGAACGTTGCCTTCGAGGTAAATCCTTGCCATTATAATTTATCTCTCTCTAATGTGAGCTCTCTCTTGGATATATTTATATCTGGATACGCGTATGTTGTATTTAATATCTTTGTGTAAATTTTCTTAGTTGTTATTAAATGTGTTTGTTAATTTAAACCCGTGTAGTCTTTTGGACACCTGATTACGACTTTCGACTCCTCCCCACTCATATTTTTAGCCCTCCTATGCCATCCGACAACCGAGAGCGGGTTTTTCCGACCTGTGCAGATTAAGTGGTCATTAGGGTTCAACCCAGTGGCCCCCTGCTACTCACATAATCATCCTTCATGAGGATTTGAGTAAACAAAAGATCTGTTCAATTTGTGCTGAACACTATCACAGATAAGCAAAACACATGCTAATTTGATGCACTTGGAGATTTCATTAGCATATGCAATTGTGATCCATTTCTTCTGGGATTGGTCATAACAGGCACTGAGAGTTAGTTATCTGTTCAATCCCAAAATGAGATGCTAGTCAGTGGAATAGGTAGTCCCCATCCCCACCTCAACAAACAAAAAATTGTTTCCATAAATCCATGGTGAAAACAATGTTGATCACATTTTTTGAGAAGAATCATTCATAAGTAATATCCTGAAAAATAAATTGTGAATGCTGAATTCTGTGTCAAGTGCATCTGTTGTGTGTAGCTATAGTTTCACAAAACTGGTTGTTTATTTCTGCTTCATAATAACATCTCAGTGCATTCTGCTATTCTTGTGCACAAGATTTTGAGTCAATGTGGCATTATTTACTACTCTCCTGATCTTCCACTGCTTTTTTTTCTTTCCTAGACTTAAGGAGACACTAAAAGGAACTGGATTTGCAGACATCTCTGATATTCAAAAGCATGTGACAACACTTCTTAAGGTGATTGACAAAGAAGAATTCTTACAGTTTCTGCAAGCTGTACAAGCACTATCAGAAATATATTGTCTCCAGTGGAGACTATTTTGAAGGATATTTTTGATGTTTAGTAGCATACACCAAACTTTATTGTCACATCATGTATATTCTGGCATAGGATTTAGTTTCGATTTTGCTGTACAACTTTTATTTTATTTTTTATTGATATTGACAAAAAAAAGAAACATTAGTCACTTATGGATATCCAGTTTCTTTTTATAAAACAAATCCTTTGAGTATAATTTTCTGATCAGCTAGATATGATATAAATGCAATTTGTAAAAATTACTAAGAAAACAATCAAAAATTCATTTATGCTGATTGATTTCTGATTAAATCAATAGCAAGTATAGGACATTAACTGTATTAAGTATTAATTAAGAATAGATTTTTGACAAACCTTAACAAAAATAATTTGTCATTTATGCTGATTGATTTCCAGGTATTTATAAATAAAATTAAATAACATTTTATTTCTAACTACAGTAATTTTGACAATAAAAGTATATAATTGAGTGCAATTAATCTTCATAATCAATTACATAGATAAAAACATAATAAAAATTCCACATAAAAAAGTTGGAATGGCATTAGAATTATGAAAGATTGTTTGTGAAAGCACAATTATAAAGGGCTTTAAGAAATGTTTTACCAACAACTTAGACAGAACAGAGGATGATGCACTGAAATAAGAAGCAAGAATGATAGCAGTAAAAATTCTGGAGATGAAAATGAAGTATTGTTTTAATGACTATCCAAATTTTTTTTAATGCAAATTGCTAATTTTTTGCATGTAAATAAAATTAATAATATAGGATGAACTTATAAATTTTTTGAAAAAATAAGGATTTTAAAACTGATAGTCAACTTCTATTTGGACTAATATGATAATTAGTTTAGAAGGGAAAATCAGACAGAGGTCCAGGTAGCATAATTGTTGGCATTCTTACACAGAAAACAGAGTTGTGAATTTGAGTCTCACTGTAGGTTGATCTTTTCTTACAGAGTAGTCTAAATTACTTAATTTAATTCAAAATTAATTTTATTATTAAAATTAGTACAAGATAGCAACTGAACCACCTACCTACAGTCCAAATTACATAGTATTTATTACAGTAATTAGTCAAGTTCTAGCAAAAGTTAATCCAGTTTGGTGATTTAATGTTAATGCAAAAATAGATAAATTTTCTAGAAGTTTCATAAAAAAATCTTTATTGTATTGGTGTCAAATATTGTTATTTTCAAATTTTAATTCTGAATATCAGTATAAATGCGTACTTCTTTACTAAGAGAGTCTGTTAGTTGCACAAGCAAGAAACTAAGTATTTCTGAAATGACATTTTAAAGTATCATAATCCAAGTATTTCTGGGCACTATTGGATTGTATTCAAGACATTAACTTCTAAAATAACATATAAATTGCAAAAATAAACTAAAAACTAATTAAAGAATATTAATTACTATATGTTCAAGAACTTAAACTTTAATTCTTAAAAGTTCTAGTTAAAAATTTTTATCAAATTGCCAAAGGACATATTTATGATCATTTGTCTTAAACATTTGGTTTAAATTAAGTTCTAGAATGTGTGATAATTAAAGTTTCAGAGTTTTTTAGTTTATCTTTGCACTTTATGTATTAGTGTTGTAATCTATTTTTAATTATATTAAATTTCACTTTAGCAAATTCTCTCTCAAAATCATATAGCTTCTTGCTTTTGAACTCTACAGGAGGATGAAGAATTATAAAATATTTGCATTTGCATATTTTTAAAGGTCATTTTAAAAATTATTTATTTAATCGAAATTTATTATATTAGTTTATTAAATAAAATGTTCAATTCATTAAGTCATTAAATTTATTATTATTATTTAAATTTTAGGTTGTGGCCAGAGCCGATCCTCACATAGGACTTTTACACAGAGGGACAGAAAAATTAATTGAGTATAAAACTTATACTCAAGCTCTGCCTTATTTTGACAGATTAGATTATGTTTCAATGATGTGTAATGAAGAATGTTATTCCTTAGCAATTGAAAAGCTATTAAATATTGACATCCCTGTTCGTGCAAAATATATTAGAGGTAATTACAAAATATATATACAGTTGAATCTGTCTATGTAGCATCTTAAGGAAATGAGAAAAATTCAAAATAAACAGGTTTCAAGATATAGAGGTTCCTACACAGTAAACAGTAATAGATTTAAGTGGAAGTACAGTAATTTATTAAATCAATAGCAAGTATAGAACATACCTGTATTAAGTATTAATTAAGAATAGATTTTTGACAAACCTTAACAGAAATAATTTGTCAATAGTTTCTAATGCCTGACTTTCTTCAACAAATAAAATACAAGCCAAAATTGTAGCCAATCAGAGAAAAACTGTATTAATTGCAGCTATGTACTCTGTTGCAAGAGATGTTTCTCAACTATAGTTTATATCATCAAAATGTAGTCACGGCTTTGAAACTGTAATTGACACTTCAGTCCATAATTTGACATATAGAGGTTTTGGAAGAAAATTATTTGAGATAAACATGGAAAAATATATTAAATTTATGTTGAAAATGCAGGGGAAAAAATAAATTTTGAGATAAACATGTTCAACCATATATATATATATATATATATATTTTTTTTTTTTAATTGTATAATTTATAGTTTATAATAAGTAATTGTTTAGAATGTTTAGTATTTAATTTTTGGACTATTTTATCTCTTGAAGTTGAGCCAGGAAGGCTCTAAATCAGTGATTCCCAAACTTTTTGTCCCACAGCCCCTTGGTTCCATAAACTGATACTCAATGCCCCACACCATACCCCAACACTCTTAACCCATTATTTTTGTGTGAGAAAGTATGGAATATTCTTAGAAAAACTTTTCTATGAACCTCATACTTTGTCCTTACCGTACATTGTTCTCCATATCCAGAAACCATTAAACACAATACTTCTTAACTGTTTTAATGGATGAAAGAGACCATTTGACTCCAGCACCTCCCTGCTGCTAGTTTGTTTCTTATAACCCCTCCTAAGTTTATTCACTGCCCCTTTGGGAATTACTGCTCTAAATTATGTTGTTATGAACATGTAAAAAATTTACTACAATAAAACTCAGTTGGTTAGTTAATATTTATTTTTTTATTTTTTAGTGTTGTTTGCAGAAATCACAAGAATATTAAATCATATTATGGCTGTTGGTACCCATGCTTTAGACATTGGTGCACTAACTCCATTTTTTTGGTTGTTTGAAGAACGAGAAAAAGTAATTAATTATACATTGTCTTTAATCTTAAAATATTTTTTATTTGTAAAATCAATATATATATATATATTTACTTCTTTTTATGAAATATTTACAATTTTATAAAAAAAAGTTGGCAATATAACTGCAGATTTCAGTTAACTTAATGCTTTTGAGGAAAGTTTTGATCAATAAATTTTAATATTAATGTAATATTGTATAATATAAAAATGTAATGATTAATTTGAATTATTATTTAATACTTTATAATTTTATTTTCAGAAATAGAGCATTTTAATGAACAATGATTTTCTTTGATTTTCAGCTAATGGAATTTTATGAGAGAGTGTCAGGAGCTCGTATGCATGCAGCTTATGTTAGACCAGGTGGAGTTTCCCAGGATCTTCCAATTGGATTACTAGATGATATATATGAATGGGCTGAGAAATTTGGTCAACGAATTGATGAAGTTGAAGATTTATTAACAAATAATAGAATATGGAAACAGCGCACAATTGATATTGGAATAGTATCTGCTGAAGATGCTTTGAACTATGGTTTCAGGTAAATGCATTTTTGCATTTTTTATATTATAAAAGTTTTTTCATTTACATATTTCTAACATTTATTATTTCTTGAGATTGAGTTCTAAAGTGAGGCATTATTCTCTTAAATGCCAGATCATATATGGCACATTAGACTGTGTATTTGCTGCTGATGTTTTGATGGGAGGTTCTTCATTATTCCTTCCCATAGTTTGTATTTAGTCCCTTTTGACTTTCATGTTTTTCCACTTTTGAAGAAATGCACATATGTGGTTGCAATTTTGTTTTTGATGATAAAGTGATATCTGTCATTGCTGGTAGACTGTACAACAGGGAATTTTTTGAGGATGGGATGAAAAAGTAAAATGCCTGAACAGACTGTGTTTTTTTGTTAAAAAATAGAATATTGCTTACAGATAAATTCTGTACATATTTATTTCTACAACAAATTTGTTTATTTGCTTTGTAAAGTTACTTTTTGATCACTTCATATAGAAGTAAATAAATTGTTTGTATCTTCATAATTGTCACTTCATAATTATCTCTTAGCAAATGGCATTATTGACAATCAATAGTTGCTTTGACTGAAATTTTAAACAACTTTTTAAGTCATTTTTGTTAATGAAGATAAAACTGGAAAATGAAAGAATACAAAATACAGTAACAGAAATTCTTTCATGTTATTACGTACACATTTATGATCTCAGCCATTGCTGAAAGTAAAAAATTGTTTTTACATGTTTTACATATTGAGGCAAATAAAAAGCCTGCAAGTAAAGGTCAACTCCACTGTAAGACTGCTTGTTTTTGAGGTGTGAAAAGAATGATGAAAGATGAAGAATCCTTGTGTTTTCTTCTATTAATTTAAAAAAAATTTATTTAAACTTGTAAATTTTTAAAATAGAAATTGTTTCAGTTAAACAAAAATTGGTTAACACACAAAAACCTGCCTATAGATTTTGCTACATAACTTGGAATAAGTTTTAATTTTCAACAGTACTGTTTTAATATTAGAATGTAGTTAAAAATTCTTTTTCCCTATTCAGTGGCATATTTTTCCTTTAAATTGTTATATCATTATTCTGTTTTTTAAATATTACATCACTTACATCATATATAAGCATTTATTAAAATGTTTGCATAAATTTCTATATTTTTAGTTAACATTCAATCAATATTATTTGTTTTAGTTTATACAGTAGATCCCTCTATAAAACTGTTTCCTATAGTTATGATTCCTATAAAAATTGTGGCATTATCCGTAAACAACGGTAAAAATAACTCCTATAATACGTAAAACGTCATCGGGCAGCCGAACTACTTACCCGCCGTCCGTAGCGCCACGCTACGGAGAGATTTATATCGTCTGGACAGTATTATATAAATTATATATAAATTAGGTACTGTACATATAATTATATATTAATTATATATAAATTAGGTACTGTATATATAATTATATATTAACTTAATTTATTGTAACTTTATTATAATTAAATATATATTTTTCGCCGTCTAGCGTCACGCTACGGCGAGTTAGGCGACCTATCGTCTGTTTAGTACTGTAATTTTATACATTTCTTGTGAAAGAAACATTTCTTATTTAACGGCCATAAAAATTATTTATATTAATGATGTCTCCAAAGGTCAACGAAGTTTTCGCAGAAAAATAATATCAGAAATCGCGGCCGCAATTTGATGCGCTGTTCCGCGACGAAACCAAGCTTTAGCAACGAGCGTAGTCAAAGGGTACACACTCGGTAAGTAATCCTACAATTTTTTGTTTATAACGTAGTTTATACGGATTATTTTAAAAAAAATATACGTATTTTGGAAATGTTGAGTCGAATTAGTCTAGAATCGATTAATTTTATGAAAGAAAACCTTTCAAACAGCCGTAGTCCGTAAACTATGATTCCTACAAAATTGATTCATAAAGAACGGAACGTATCTACCGTCTTATAGGGGGATCTACTGTACTTGCAACTTACTGATATCATTTCTTTTCAAAAATCACTGATCATGTAAATGAATTGTTAAGATCCAAATTAAAATTGTTACATTCATTGTCTAATGCAAATTGTTGATTTATCACAAATGTTTGAATGTATCTGATATTTGTATAAATATATCTAATTTATATGAAATGAAACTTTTGTTTCATACAATGCAAATCAAATTTAGTACAGATAACTGAACAGAAACTATATTTATGTATTTGTTTTCTGAACAGATAGCTGCAGATGAAAACATACAGAGTTAAATTAGTCAGATATTATAGATTCATTATTTTACTATAGTAATATGTACTCATGTATTTTTAGTGGTGTAATGCTTCGAGGTTCAGGAATCAAATGGGATCTTCGTAAAACACAACCATATGAAGTTTATGATAAGCTTCAGTTTGAAGTTCCAGTAGGTGTAAAGGGAGATTGTTACGACCGGTAAGGATCTTAATTTGATATAAACGTCCTATTTAGTATATGCATTTATATAATATAAATTATTTTGTGATGGATTTAGATATTTGTGTCGTGTTGAAGAAATGCGTCAAAGTCTTAATATAATTGACCAGTGTTTAAATCAAATGCCAGCAGGTGAAATAAAAGTAGATGATCATAAGATAGTTCCACCAAAAAGAGAAGAAATGAAAGTGAGTTTAATTCTTTTACTATTTGTTTGATTTTACTTTATTTAAATATTTGATTTTTGATGAAAATTTTACTGTTTTATACTGAAATTGACTTGGAATATTTATTGAAATGTCTTACAATACTTTAGTTATCTTTTTCAATTTCTGATTGGCTGTACAGTTGTTATTACTGTACTATCTAATCTTTTTACTATGATTAAAAAAGGTTTGAAAATTTTATCTAAAGTAATGAAAAAAGAATTAGATAAATTTTTCTGATTTAAAGGCCTTTTATTTTGTATTATCTGCATTTTAAACTAATTTTAGTTTTCTTTTGTAATAAATATTTTAATCTTTTCTACTAAGTTGAAGTAAATATTGTTAAAATAAACTTCACTTTAATAGTGATTCTAAGCAGTGTCAGTTTGTTGACCAAATGGTATTTTGCCATTTTATAGTAAAGTTATTGTGTAATAAAAATAGAAAAAAACATCATATCAAATTAAAGGAAATTAGTGAAATATATGTCCATGTTGTCAATTATTATAGTTTGTAAGCTGTAAGAATTGTACCAAATGTTGTAAAGTTGAGATAAGTGTGAGTTAGCAAATGCAGATATCAAAGCAGCTAAAGCATTCCTGTAGAATTCCAAGCCATTGTGAATATCCTGAGGATTTTACTTCCAATGTATATGAAACAAGACTATATTGGAAGAGAATGCCTTTCAGGACCTTTATTGTCTGCAATAATATTTAAAGTTTCCAAGGATAGACTAACACTCCTACTTGGTGCTAATATTTCAAGAATTTTTAAATTGGACCCAGTGTTAGTCTATCACTCAGAAACAACACTTCATGCATTGAAAGAGTTAAGATAGCTAGTATCTATCTATTATATCTATGAATGTTTTTCTTTTTACCTAATCTAAACAGACTAAGTTAATTAAGCCAAATAGGTCTTATTAAATATTTGAATAATTAATAAATGTCTTTTATTAACATTTGCACAATGATTGCATTGTGGTCGGTTTGATAAACCATATTTGCTTGACAAATGTTGTTCGAAATAATGTTTTGAAATTTGAACTAATAAATTTTAATATTTTCCTAACTTTTATAATATAAGTTATGACTGTAATAAATTTGTTTTCAAAAACTTTAGTAACTGAGAATTTCACAATTTTAAAATAATTTTTATTGTATAATTAAGTCATCTATGGAAGCATTGATACATCACTTCAAGTTATTTACTGAAGGTTATCAAGTACCACCTGGTGCTACATATACAGCAGTAGAAGCACCAAAGGTAATTTTGTTTTCCCATTATTATTATTATTATTATTATACATTAATATTATCGTATATCTCGACAGATAAGACGACCTTCAGATAATACAAGGTATAAATTTTCATCGAAGTTTTATAGTTTTAGCATATATCTGTCCTATAAGATGACCCCCAAACTATCAACGGCCTATGAATTTAGTTTAGATCAGTGATCATCATCTGAATAATAATACTGTATAGCGTATATGGAATTAAGTCCTATTTGTAATTTTTCGAATGAACAAATTATATTTTCTTGCATCAGCACTGCCTTGAGATTGTTGCAAACATTGGCACTGATTCGGCATTCGGGTAATGACCTCGACTATTCACAAAAACGTTGTATGGGCTGTTCTATTTTATGTTCATACCCTACTCTCTTCTAGTAAATAATTATGGTTTGTCTGTTTTTTATAATGGTTTTAATTTATATAAATTTCAATCTAATTTTTTTTGTATCTGTCCTATAAGATGACCCCGGATTTTGGAGGCCTTTTTTTATGATCCAATTATTGTCTTATCTACTGAGATATGCAGTATGTATTTCATAATTTAATATTAAGTTTGTTTTTAATTTATTGTAATGAATAGATACTGTTTTTACTGATATTAAAAGTGTAAAATTAATTTTTTAAACAGTTAAATAGATGGCCAAGTGGCCTAGTTTGCAGCCTACTGCTCTGGGGGCCTGGGATCGAATCTGGATGGGTCGAAAAATCCCCAGGAAGTTTTCGGGGGGTGGTCTGTTCAGATATGTCAGGTCCTGTCCCTCACCACCCAGCTGCTCTATTGTGGGCCTTGCTGAACCTGCAATGGGCTTGCTAAAAAAGAGACCCTTTTAGTGCCCACAGGGCAGAGAGTTAAAAAATAAATAAAGAAAGAAAAAACAGTAACTAAGAAATGTAGTAAGTGGTAGAATATAACACAAAGAAGAAAGTATGGTAAGAATAGAATTAGACAGCCTAGGGGAAGTAAAAGAACCAAGTGAACATTACTGGGGAGCACAAACTCAACGTTGTTTAGAAAATTTCAAAATTGGTACAGAAAGAATGCCAGAGCCTCTGATTAGGGGGCATTAACAATAGTAAAATTTGCGGCAGTGCATGCATGTTAACATGAAATATGGCTCTATTAGTGAGAAAGTAGGAAATGCTATCTGCGCAGCCACAAAGGAGATAATACATGGTAAGTTCAATAATGAATATCTGCTTGTTGTTTGGCAGACAGGATCTGCCAAAATAAGATTAATGTCTTGTCTACAAGTTCTGACATGTTCAGTGAACATTTTTTTCCTTTAATCTACAGAAGGAATCATCCATCATGTTTTTCTGTGATGCATGTGACAGATTATAGAGAAATGTAGTTTTTATGTCTTCATCAAAGTGAAATTGTATTTGAAATTTTAGAAATTATATGGAAAATTTATGGATAGCATGCATTTCTCTATGAAAGATGTTTGAGTGGTTTAACACACTTCTTTATAGTTCTTTAAACACGAAATCTGCCAAAATCGGCTTTATTCATTCAAAATGAAAAAGTTGTTTGACTTGTTTTGCTGTACAAGTTTCCCTTATCACCTGAGGGGTAAAAACAATTTAGTCTTTAGCTACATAATAAAAAAAAAGTTTTCAGAACTTAAGAGTTAAGTGGTTCCAAGAAAACCAAGAATAATTTTTCTGTCAGAAAATATTTTTTAGGGCAGTATTTTTCTTATCTTAGGGATGTCAAATGCAATTGATTGGTCAATTTACATTAAAACCTCACTTATAGGGCCTTTTTCAGGGTATACAATTTCTGGCCACAAGTGAGGTAGTCACCTAACTGGGGTTATGAAAAAATTGACATACATATCTGTATTGGAGTACTAAATCATGTTAAATGTTATCTCAACAAACTGTTCCAAAACTATAGTAATGTTCTTTAGAAAAATGTTTTTCAGTTGCCAAATCCTATTTCCTCTTCCACCTCTTTCCTGAACTGAAAATGTGGCTAGGAGGGCAAAGGTTCGAGAGTAATGATTTTCAAAACAATGTTAAGGCCCATCTCAAGTTACTGGTAGCAACATTCTATGAAGAGGGTATTGCAAAGCTCATCCACAGATATGACAAATGCCTCAATCTTCACGGTGATTATGTCAAAAAGTAACCATGTTTGTACCTAACTTTTGGTAATAAATTAATTTTGTTATTTACGCTTGTCTTTGTTTTATGGACCATTGGAGGTTGGAAAAAACTGTTTTTGTAAATAAAAATAATAAACTGAATACAGTAAAATCCTATAAATGTACTGTTAAGTTGTTTATAGATAGATCATACAAGAATGCTAGTGCTAGTGCTAGAAGTGGTCTCTATTTGCAACCGTTCTGGAAAGATGAGTAGCTAAAGTTGGTTTTGTCTCTGGCACAGTTTTCATTGAGCTGGCACTGTCCTTCAACAACAAGTTGAATGACAATTGTTTTTGATAATTAATTTGTAGTTATTGCTTAATGTCTGAAATGCTTTGTTTATGCAAGTAAATTTTCTCTAATTTACAGCCTTTAATTTACTGTAGATTGAGATTGAAAACTTATTTAAGTAACTGATTCAATAAATTAGAAATTTTATAATTAATACTTTTCAGGGAGAATTTGGGGTGTATTTAATATCTGATGGCAGCAGTAGACCTTACAGATGTAAAATTAAGGCTCCTGGATTTGCTCATTTGGTAAATACAATATTGTCTTTACAATAATGTTTTTATTATTTAGGAAAGTTAAAAATATTGTTTACACTCTTCAAGTATTAATAAAAATTATTTAAATTTATTTCAGGCTGCCATAGATCATATTGGAAAAAGGCATCTGCTTGCAGATATAGTTGCAATTATTGGTATAGTAATTCTTATATATACAGTATTTTAAGGTTTTAAAAGCTGTACATTATAGTAATTATGATTTCCTTTTTTTTTACAGGCACATTGGATGTTGTGTTTGGAGAGATTGATCGCTGAATGCTTGAGTTAATTAATTTTGTTTATTTAAAGCTGTATAGAAATCAATAGTGTTATAAACTTTAATAAAAACTTGTACAAAGATTAAAGTTTTAATCTGGATAAGAAATCATTTTTTTAAAGTTTCTTTTTTTCATTTGTTTTTGACAATATGAAATTTGACATTTGAAAACATTTTCATGTGGATAATCTGCAGAAAATTGCTAGAACAGATATAAAACCTTCACGTAATCCAAACCACTTTTAACGATACAATGGTACTTCAGGATACGAACGCCCCAGCATACGAAATTTTCAGGATACGACATGAAATTCGAACATATTTTTGCTCCACGATACGAACAAAAACTCACCATACGACGTTACATTAGTTCGCAGCGCCATTTTTTTTTATTAACTTCTGTTCATCGGTCTCAGTCCGCGTGTTTGCTTCGTCGTGGAAGAATCTCGCTCGATGAAGGCAATCTTGAGATATCAGAAAGTGATTGATTTTATTGAAAATAAACATCCCGAAAAGATTCACACCGGCCGTATTGCTGCTCGGAGTAATGACATTTGCCTAAGTCATTTTAGAAACATTTTAGAAACATTTTAAAAAGGCAAAGGCAAACCTCTTTGGATAGATATTTTACCAAGCGACCTCTATCCAGTGAAAGCGCTGGTGGAAGTGAAGGAAAGAAAGCAAAAAGCAGTGAATAAAAAGTAAAAAATATATATATAAAACAACACTAATTTTTTAAAATCTTTTCTAAATTATTGTTACATTATGTAAGTTAAGTTTTAGTATCATTTCCCTTCTCCCGCCACCAGTTTACACCTCCACCGTCGTCTATCCTGAAAGGTAAAGTGCAAATAAAACTACATTTTTTTTTTATCAATTATTATTCCATTATGTTTATTTATACATTTACAAAACGCATTTTTCTGTGTTTTCCTTACTATAGTTGTTATTTTTTTTTATGTACTACCTAGCTTTAATTTGTGTGTGGTTTTCGTCTTGTAACGAATTATTTGGTTTTACATGTATGGGGAAAATGATTCACCTTACGACATTTTCATGATACGATCTCAGTTTCGGAACGGGTTAATTTCGTATCGTGAGGATTTTTTTTAAAATACTCTTTCCGCCCTGTGGACACTAAGAGGGCCTCTTTTTGCAGGCCCATTATGGGTTCGGCCAGGCCTACAATGGGGCTGCCGGGTGGTGAGAGACGGGGCCCCACATATCCGAATGGACCACCCCCGAAAAATTCCTGGAGATTTTTTGACCCGTTCGGATTCGAACCCGGGTCCCCCAGAGCGGTAGGCTGCCACCTTGACCGCTCGGCCATCCGCTCGTATCCAGAGGTACCACTGTATTTCAATCAAACCTGAGTTGTGAAAGAAATCAATTCCCCATCCTAAACAGTAATTTTTTATTTTATCAGTCTTTTTCCAACAATTTTTAAATCTCAATAAGAATTTGATCCTGTGTTTTATTCGGAATATTTTATATAAAAGTAGATAAAAAGGCTTCAAAGGAGTTCTACTAGATTCTACTGAAATCTTCCCACCAATAAGTATCACATATAAATCTTTTAATCACTTTTTAGAAATATCCAGAATTTCTAATGCCAAATATATATATATAGGGTGATTCAAAAATGAGTTTGCAATTTTGAAAGCACATAAAATTTAATCGGAAGACTTACGGAATCGATTGAGGCGTAATTTATAAACACCAAAGCCTCATTTGTTTTGTCTCCAAATGGCTTAACCAGTGTAGAAAATTATCACATCGGAACGAACAGAACAGTGTGCTTACTAGTGATGGATTTTTATTTAATTAACAACCTATTATTTCGAAAAATAAGACATTTTTATTTCAAAAGAAAAATAACAATCGGTACGAAGTACGTCACATGTTCATTACTGTATTATTAACAACGGGATGTTTTATTCTTGCTACACCACAATAAATTTAAATTATTGTGTAAAAGTTGTTTTACTGTATCAACGTTGCTATTGAAAATAGATTATTCGATGTTTAATCGCTTCCGTATCTCAAAAGTGTCACTTACTTTACGAATAGACCAATTTAAATTTAGTTAACACACGTCTACTTGCGTGAATGGTCTCGGCTAAGTTGGCCGGACAATAGGATAGTAACATTTAATTAAAGTATACATATAAGAATATTAGAAGTTTGGTTTAGATTTGATGGAATACGGCAACGCGAGGTGTGGGCATCTGTCAAAGGAAATGTCACTCAGGAGGACTCTACGGGAAACTGGTCCCTATTTAGGTGTTAAACAATTTTACATTTTAAAATTACAATTATAAATTCCCACTGTCGTCCGTCCGTCCGGCTGTCATTCCTTAATCTGGAGGACGGAGTTAACAGATAGCACCATACACAATTTTAACTTTTTGCCTGGAAAGTTACGTATCTCGTTGCTGGATTTTTTCGCTCGTAATACAGTAGAGCCTCGATTATCCGACCTAATTGGGGACTGGGGTTGGTCGGATAATTGAAAGGGCGGATAACTGAAAAGTATGAAAAAATCTATTATTAGTGTAGTATATTATTATATCCCATGTAATTAGTATATTAGTATATCGCTATTAACCTACTTTGCGTTGAATTTTCATCGATGTTAAGCCTAACAAAAATTTGTTTAAAATAATAATCATCGCTATTGTATCGTTAAAAATTAGAAAGTTAAGCCTCGTTTAAATACTGACTCCCTTTCATGGTCGATCCAGTGTTGGCAGCTAAAACACGTAAAAATAATATTAAAGTAGCCAAGACATAGCCAAATATTGTAGCGCCACATCAATAGCGGACATTTGAAATTTGCCGACTAGGACGGTCGGTTAACCGAGGGGTCGGTTGATAGGGGGTCGGATAATCGAGGCTCTACTGTACATCTGATCTAATGCACCATTTCAGGGAATGCGAAAACAATAAAAAGAATTTCGGATTAAGACTATTGAAACGGTGTATTTTTGGATATTGAGGGATTAAATTAATTTTGCGAAAATTTTATTGATCTGGCGATTGGAGTGGAGAATAGCCACAGAGCAGTCCGCAAAAAACAAAATTTGGCTCTCTAATCGAAAAGTTTGGGCACAACTTTTGTAGCTCGTGGATATCATGTATATATTGTATTAGTGGTGTGATTGCGTCGCGCGCCTGCTAGTATACGGATGTACTGTACTATCAGCGAGACAATCCTGTTTTCACTTCAACCTAGGTAGAACTTTCTGTTAGGCAGGCCATAGAAAGTTTATAGGGAACCAGGGTAGAGAGCAGTGGCGTGCCGTCATTGGAAGCGCCGTTTCCCTCGTATTTTCTAAAAAATAAATACATATTGCTCGATTATTTTCATATTTTAACGTACTTTGAATTAATTAAAATTAATAATTTATTATAACCGCATTATGTATTTTATTACAAATTTCTATACTACATGTGAAAAAAACGATAAGATTGCTATTGTATATTCGAATATTAGTGGCGGAGTGGAAGCTCTGTATTGTCAGCTTCCAAACAGCCAGATTATACTCATTTGTGCATGCAGAGCACCAACCACACCCGGTTTAGCTGGTGAAAGCTACACACGTATAACGCTTCCAATGATTCTATCCAGGACCGGTTCTGGGCTGTTAGCCGCCTGCCTGCTAGATATTTGGCCGCCCTCGCCCGATTATGTGAATCACGAGTAGATTTATAACTTAACCCAACCGATAAGAATTTACTGGTATGATGTTTTTATGATAGTTCTGTATAGTTGACAGATGTTTAAACTAATGGCCAGATTTGGAAGAGTCGTGCATATTTCTCAAGGAATCTGTTTCGCTTTTTATACTAGAATCCTCTGTCACGTCATTTAATTCTTCTAATGCTGTTATAATTTTATCTAAATCAAATCTAACTGTCTTCACAGAATTTATTCGGCATTTCCAACGTGTATCTGATAATGGTTTTAGAGTTGAATTTGTTAAATGTTTCATTAAAATAGCCCACTCGTGAGCAGAAGTAGAAAATAGTGTATACAGTCTAAAGCCGAGGAAGCCTATTAATAAATTTAAATTGATACAAAAAATTCTGTCGGATTTTTTTCCAAAATTCTTGCTTGCACTCCTTTTCTCTTGCCTACCGTGTTAGCCCCATTGTCATAAGCTTGTCCAAGGCAATCGTTCAAAGAAATATTTAACGTTTTAAGTTGTTACATAATTTCTCTGATAAATCAAACCCTGTACTTTCGGCATAGGAGAAAAACCAATAAAATAATAATTAATTTCAACTTCATTTCGTTCTTGTTCCTCAGACATTTCTACAATTCGAACAATGAGAGTCAATTGTTCAATACGACTTTTATCGGTAGTACAGTCTAACTACACTGAATAATATTTACTTTTTTTTATTATTTCATTTTTAACTTTGTTTGCCAACAGATTAATTATCTCATTTTGAATTGTCCAACCTAAATAATGATCGTTTGTTTCTTTCTTTATCTTTGATACGTCTTATAGCTTATGTTCTACCATCGAATGTTTAAATTAATTCTATTTAGTACCATCAAGCAGCATAAATTTATTCAATTGAAACATTTATAAGCTTACAATATGCTCAAGTGCATAAATGTTCTATGCAATGCTAACTACAACTACACTGACTTGGTGCCTAGTTTTGTTATAGGTTACATACGGCCAACTTACAATTTATATTATAAAAACTATTTTTTTTCTTTATTATTATTTTTATTATTTTTAAGGTAATTATTCTTTTATAAAAAAAAATTACTAATAGAACACTAACAAACACAAATATATTTGAATTTATACATTAAACAGTTATTCTTTTTGTAGATCGTAAAATCAATTAGTAGCAAAGTTGTATCAAGAAATCGAGATTCGTAAGATTTTTCCAGAATACCTTAAATTATACTTTAAAATTAAGTTTTACGTTGAAATACAAGTTATTACATTTTAATTATAAAACATTATTATACTGTATCCTCTTAAGCGTGGGGACCGGAGCGGTTGCCCCAGTTGCCAGGTCCTAGGGGCGGTTCTGAGCAACTCATTATAGGTTCGGCCAGGCCCAAAGTGGGGTAGCGGCCCACCAGTGGACAAGTGGTTCTATTCCCTGAACACTGGGAGTGGTTTCGCGCCTTGCCAAGACAGGCTGGCCACGTAGTTTTCCGGGCTTTCTTCACCTCTGTAACGCCTGAATATGGGCCAATTACCCTTAAAAAGACTACCCGGAATGCAGATTGGTCTAGTGTTGCGCTGTCGTAACTTAACTATACAAACAAACAAGTGGGGCTGGTGTGCACCCATAAGATAACGGATTTTATCAGTCCGTTATCTTATGTTCTAGCGCATCAATAGTGCTCACCCTCTAGAATTTTAATGGCACTTTTCCGGTTTTCTTCTGAACCTTTCTTGCATTTAAAATGTTTAAGTCTGGAATAAAAATTTGCATTATCGTTTTGAATGTAGCAATCCTTTGGCAAATCTTGCACTGGGTGCAAATTATCGCACTTATATAAATGTTAACATTAATAAAGAATCATACTTGTTTTCTAAATGAAGGATATTTGTTCTTAACGTAAAATTTTTGACAATAAAATTTACAAAGAGTAATAATAGGCCCAAAATGTACATATTAGTTTAGCTCATCAACTGCATCAACAGTATGAATGAAGAAGAGTTCAAAATACTGTTGCCCTTTTGCAACATCTCCATACTNCAAAGAGTAATAATTATAAAATTAAATTTTTATATATAATATTTTATTTTTGAAAATGTTTTCGAACCATTGCCTTTTTTAGAGAAGGTAAAAGTTTGTTTGCTTTTACTTTCTCGGCTATTATGTATATACTAGAAATTCTCTCGTCAAGCATGACGGAATACTCTTTATGAGAAAGTATTGAAGAATTGAAAAGGATAGAGATTACAAGATATTCAAGAAGAGTTGCTATTATTTCTACAAATTAAGTAGTTTACACTATTTGTTGTAACATTAGGACATCGCGCGATTTTGTCGTATCACGTTAGAATTGAAGCGGAGCCGGAAGAAAAGAAGCGATCTCTGCACCAGTTAAGCACAAAATAGGCGATTCTTGTACAAATGCGGACAGATGAACTTTGCACTTACCGTCACACCAAAAAAAAAAATGTTCCTCGTACCTGCAGGTCACGTGAAACACAATCCTTGCACTGGCTACGCACTGCGTACGGAGAAACGATCCGAGAACAAGGCAATCTCCACCGATTGCGTTGTTCTTGTGTTCTTGTCTTGCGTTTTTCGTGCCTATTTTCCATTAGACATACGTAAAACTGTTTTTATTTTTTTACCCCTAGGCCTAAATTCTGTTAGGTGGGCTCATTGCATCAGAGAGCACGAACATTGTCGCTGTAACACCTTTGTACTGTATATCGAAAAGGAGATCATGGACACCTATGTTTACTTTCCTGGTTGTGTCATACCGTAGATAATAAAGGGTAAATATGGCAATCGGTCAAAAAATGACCACTTCTCAAGATTTTTACATTTTTGGACTTAGAGAACTTTGAAATGTCGAGAAATGCAAAAACATTCAGTTTTTTTTTTTCTTATGGATGTTAATGTGTGCATGTGGCACGATTTTGTTTACCCTGTTTGAACCTTAACCTTAATAACTCGAAAATTTCTAAAATTTTGAAGGAAGGTTCGTATATTAGAAAGATTCATGCTATTAAATTTTGATGGTTTTAAAATCGACGGGTGGGGAGATAAAGGATGAACTTTTTCAAAACTCCGCCCTGTGGGCACTGAGAGGGTTTCTTTTATCAAGCTCATTATGGGTTCGGCCAGACCCAAAGTGGGGAGGCTAGGCGGTGAGGGACGGGGTCCGACATTATCCGGACACACCACCCCGAAAAATTTCTGGAGTTTTTTCGACCCGCCCGGATTCGATTCCGGGTTCCCCAGAGCGGTAGGCTCCCACTTTGACCGCTCGGCCATCCGGCGGTCGTCGTATCTCGAGTAGGGTCGGACTTAATGACGATTTTACTCGTTATTAGCATTTACAATTTTTTACAAAACCCACTTTTACTCTCAAAATTACCGTAAGCTTTTTTGCCATTTTATAATAATTGGAATATAAATAGTTTTTTAAAAATAAAATATCGTAACAGATAGCGCCACCAAAATAGCGTAACAGATAGCATGTAACAGAATTTTTAATGTTGCCCGGAAAGTTAAGCGATTCGTTACTGGATATTTTACCTTTAAAGAGACCCACATTACATTTCTGGATTCTTCATCTTCATTAATGAAAATTGGCAAAGTTTTATCAAAATCGAAAAACGTCGGATTCTTCACTATAGAGAATCCAACGTTTGCTACTTATATGGCGTTTTTCATCCACAGATAAATACATTGTAGACGAGTGAACTAATGCAACTGTTTAAAAAGTATGAAATAAAAAAAACCAGTAATATCTCCAAAAATATACCTGAAACTGCCATCAAGTATGCGTAGATTAATCTTTTTTTTTCAAATTATTATTGTTTTAACTTAGATGTACAGTACACGAAATACAATAAAGTATGAAACCTTTTTTTTTACTCTTTCCGCTCTGTGGGCACTAGGAGGACCTCTTATAGTTGGCCCATTATGGGTTCGGCCAGGCCCACAATGGGGCGACTGGGTGGTGAGGGACGGGGCCAGACATATGCGAACGGACCACCCCCGAAAAATTCCTGGGGATTCCTTGACCCGTCCGGATTCGATCCTGGGTTCTTCAGAGCGGTGGGCTGCCCCCTTGACCGCTCGGCCATCCGGCCGTACCAGTATGAAACTTTCAAACAATGACTACGTTCTACATTTGTAATTATTTCGCTATGATATCGGGCACGTCAAGCAAGAAATCGTTCCGACGTCAAAAGCCACAATAGTAGTGTCAAGAATTTACATTATATACAGTTTTGGTATCGGTGTCAATGCCATTTTTAATAAAAACAATGTTTCGGTTTTCGAACGCATACATGGCAGTGCGTTCATTACAGATATTTTCATTACTAATTATTCCAAAGTTTATTTCCTTACAAAAATTTTGAAGGAATTATTATCACATTATATACACATTAAAGCAACAATGAAAGGAATTGTGAACGTGTTCGTTCGAAAACCGAAACATTATTTTATTAAAAATAACATTGGCACATTATATACAAAAGAGTTAACATAATAACAAAGTAAGAAACAGTAAATTGAAGAATAAAGAAAACTTCCTTTATTCGTTAAAAAAAAAAAAGTTCTTTCTATATTTACAGTAAACGTTAAACTTTCGTGCACGCTTTTCATCCGCTAGGTGGTGTTATTCAGTCTAATGATTCAGAATCGTGCATAGCAGGTAAGTAATATGGTTCTATTATTTCGTCTCCAAATATTTTTTTTTAATGGGAAAAACTTTTACTTAAATTACACAATTATGTAATTTTATTTAAATTAAACATATTAAAATAATTAAGAAATGCGAAATAACTACGTTTATATTAAAACTAATCAAGTAGACGCCATCTTTGTCATGTTGCCAAATATTTAGCTGAGTTATCCTCCATTTTGTCTTTATTTATTAATGTTAATTTTCTTATATTTTTGATATTTTTGTATTTAATTATCCATATCGAATTATTTTATATCGTATTGAGAAAAATCATATAACAAATATTGCCACTTAAATATATATTTTACGCATTGAATATTGTTTAGGGAAATTGCGCAAACGCAATGCGGTGGGACAAATTTTTACATGCTGGTAGATCTGGCAACTTGGTCTCGACTACGTGTTTAAAAAAAAAAAAAATTGTAGTCTAGTGACTACTATTTTTGTGTGTGATGAAGTTAAAAAGTAAATAAAAGTCACCAGTAAACAATGAAAATTTATTAAACTGCAACGGATAAGACATCATGCATTAAGAGTATAGAAGTTTTTATCGCATGTGGATTAGATAATTCACAATTACAAATCAATCTGGTGAAGGTTACTTTTAGGTCAATAAGAAGTACTAAAAGTAACTTCTATCCATATGTTATTCGGGATTAATGTTTGGATAGGGAAGAAAGATGTTAAAAAAAAAAAAAAAAGAATAGTTAGGATAAAGTTTGCATTTTAGAAATAACGAATAATTCGAAATTGAAAGGGTCGAGCGGTTCCGTTCCCCGAACGCCGGTCGCGGGTTCGCGCCTGCCTTGCCGGGCCGCGTGGAGTTTTTCGGGTTTACTCCGCGTCTGTAATGCCCGAATAGGGGTCGGTTACCCTCAAAAACACCTCCCGGAAGGCAGATTGCCTAGTGTTGTGTTGTCGTAACTTAATAAACAAACAAAACAAAAAAGTTTTGAATAATTCGGTAATGCTTTCTTTTTTTCAAATATTGATTTTATTATGAGAATTGTAAAAGTAAAAATTACACAATAATAGAAAAGTTTCAAAAGATTGATGAGAACTTCTTTTGTATTGTAATTTCATAAAGGTTTTGCATGTTTTATATATATATATGAAGAATAACTCGATGATTTTATATATATAAATGCACAAATGATAATTTGGTATTGTATGAATTCATTTGATGTGATAACAAATTGAAGTTGTTATAATTTTTTTTAAAATCTTGATATCCTTAATTTAAAAAGAGCAATTATCTTTTTTATTCTATTCCGGATTCTCTTCAGCTCTGTATTCTATTACAGAGCTGAAGAAAGAATGCGTCAAAACTAATTCGGTTGTCCAAGAAATCAATAAATAGATCATAAATATCTTGATCATTGATTTTTGAGATGCCAAATTTTGAATTGAATAACTATTAGTCTTAATATATCAAATATTATTATTAGATGAAAAGTTGTCAAATAGATTATTTAGTTGAAAACAAATTTTAGAATTTCTGTCACCAAGTATAGTACAATGTTGGTAATCACAAAGACTGGGCTGTAGATCACACTGTGGAATAGTGTTGGATTAGGGAATAGAGCATATATGACTTGGAAACTGCCAATAATTCTTTAGTTCACTGGTATTTAATAACTGGATGTGTCAAACTAGAAATAAGAATGAAATTCTGTAATATTGACTTGTACTTGTGTAAATGTAGTAATAATTGCAATTTGAGTTTGAATTTAGTTAAATAGTAATAGATTAATTATATAGTAGTCTGCTCATTGTAATCACTATGGGACTTGTCTATACTGACGACAATAACTGATTAATAATACTAAGCAGTGCAAATACACAGTGGCGTACCGTAGTGGGGGGCGGCAGGGGCAGCCCACCCCGGGCGGCACTTTTTAGGGGGCGGCAAAATTTTACAATAAATAATAATAATATCTTGTAAAAATTTGAAACATCCTAATCTATATTTGCATCGCGCCTACGATAGTGCTATCACCCGCACAGTCTGGGAATCGGCTCACTGTCCAGGTGAACTTTTTATTTTTTTATTTTTTTGCTTGTACAATTCATTCACGTTCATTGTACACCTCTAATATCCAATAGAACTATTTTAAACAGGTTGCTGCACTACCACAGAATTTTTCATTGCTTGTTCTGTGACAAAACTGAATTTTGGTCTTTTAAATTGAAATACCTAAATAAGGGGGGCCGAAATTTTCCTCCGCCCCAGGCGGCTGACACCCACACTACGCCACTGCAAATACAAAAAGTGGAAATTCTTGTTTTATTGACTGATATTAAAGGTGTATAACTTGGAAGATTTATTAATTAATAGTAAGTTGTCTTGTATTTTCCTGCTTTTTTTTAATAATTCATTAAAATATAATTATATTCATAATGTTTGATGTTTATTGATAACAATTGCAGATTATGAACCATGTGTTGAGGCTGATAGCACAAAAACACAGTTTTAAAGTATCTGTTTACCTGAAGATAATGACAACTATAACTGAAATATGATTAGAATAAGAAAGTCTTTATAAGAATACTTTAACCTATGTTTTGGATGTGCTAATCATAATAATATTGGACTGTTGATAACAAAATCTGTGATTACAATAGTCAGATTATGCTTTTATTTTTTAATTCTAATTTGAGTTATTTTGTAAATTTTACCATTCAGCACATTTACTTATTTGAAATTAAAGATTTGCTTATAGTCTGACATCAGAATTTAAAAATTTGAAATGTTTAAATTAGTATAAATGAATGTAGTATCTGTAATTAGAATTATGAATAATGACTCTTTGTAAAATAGAAATTATTAATAATTATAATGAAAATACAAATGTAAAATTATAGTACAGATCATTTTTTATTGTTTTGTCTAATTTTTTCTAATGCAATATTTATAATAGTAATCTAATGTCATTCTCTCTATTTTAAAGAAAAGAATATTATTGAGAAACAAAATATGATAGGAATAAAGCAGATAGGAAGTTACTGATACTTTGAAATTTAATTTATTATATAGCATTTTTTTTTTTAAACTGTGATCAGTTTGCCTAAATTTACTTTCTTGGAATGTTCAGTTCTAAATTGTTCTTGCTATATAAAATTTATCAAATAATCTTTATATCTTGATGATTTCTTTATTATAGTACAGTCATACCCCGAACTTACGCGATAGGTGGGACCGAGCGATAACCGCGTAAGTCGGGGTATAATTTTGCATATAAATACATACAAATTATTTTTAATTGGGGCCAGAGACTAAAGAAAACAATAATTTAGAAAAAAATGTTTAATAAAATCTTAGATAACACATATGTATAACAAATTAGGCCTATATTATTTTACAATTTTTCACATTTACTTGATTATTACGCCATAATTTTAACATTGTTTCCATCTCAGCGATAATACTGTGACGTTTACGAATGATGCTTGAATTTAAAGATTGAGCATTTTTTACAGCTTCGAGAATTTTTTCTTTACCTTTTATAATTGTTCTGACCGTCGATTCCGGTAGATCAAACTTCTTTGCCAATTCACAAATTTTCATTTTTGTATCGAAGTCTTTAATAATGTTAACTTTACATTCCAAAGATAAAGTTTTTCTTTTCTTGTTTGATGCAGAAGAATCAGTTCTACTTCGTTTGGATGACATAGTAGAGTGTTAAGATTAATCATATTCGTTATTGTAAACCGCGCTTAAGTTAGGCGCCATCTATTCATTTCTTTTGTATGTCCGACGATCAAAAGACCGCTTGGGATCGAGTCTGTTTATAATTTGAAAGGTAATCTTGTCAGTTGTATATACAAAAGATAAATTGTTTACAAAATGAGTCTTTGTTTATTATCTGATAAATGTATACCTTTTTCGTCAATTGTTCACGATTGCAGATGTTTTTTGTGTAAAATCCAAGTCGGATGTATGTAAGCTAATAAATGTTCTCGTTAATCTTATCTCGCCTTTTGGTTCGTTCACGGTTACAAGAAATCATCACATAGAGTTTCTCGAGTCTCCGTAGATATAACAAACAGAAATAAATTACACAAAATAAATTGTAGCTATGCGTCGATTCTGCACGACATGTCTGAACACGTAAGCTGAACAATAGTGTGGGGGGAGTGAATAATCAAGAGTTGCGTAGCGCTCAAACAAAATGTGAATGGACGAGATTTGAAAATCACGTAACTCCGGTTCGCGTAAGTCGGGGTATTACTGTAATTATAATTAGCAAAATTTAAAACATAAATTGAATTTCATAAACATTTTAAATTAAAATTTCATTTGTAAGTAGATATCTTTTCAGCTGTTTTTTTCATTTCTTGATGTTATTTTTCATCTTTGCACAATGACTAGGTTGTAGATCACACTGTGGTAGTTTTTCTTTTATCAGAATATTTGAAAATATTTATCTGTATTAATAATAATGTCAGAATTGAAAATATATTGGAAAAATAATTCAAAAGTTATATCTTAATGAAATATATATTTATATAATTCACATTTATAAGGTATCATTTTTGTTTTCTTCTGATTAAAATTTATAGAATAAGTTCTTTATCTTATATTGTTTTTTATTGGTTAGTTTCTTCATCAAATTCTTTTTTTACATTGGGTTTTAGGGTTCTAAAAATGACTGATGTTACAGATGAATCAGTGCACATTATGGCAGAAAATAAAGTTGGAGCGAATTCAAGTAGTAATAGATGTTTTTGTTGCACTTGTGGTCAGAAGTTTTTTAATTTGCGAAATTTACATAAACACATGAAATTACATATTGAAGATGAAAGTTATGCCTGTAATATTTGTCAAAAGACATTTAATCAAAATATTGATTTTGAAAATCATTTAAAACTACATATCAAGGAAAAATTTCATCAGTGTAGTAAGTGTGGTCAATATATTTCGAATAGTAGTCTGCAAGATCATATAAAAATTCATAGTAGAAAGCAACTTCATAGTTGTAATATATGTGGCAAAAACTTCAAACATATAAGTATTTTGCATAAACATCAGAGAATTCACAATGAAAAACAAATACATATTTGTCATATGTGTAATAAAAAATTTTCGAAAATACAAAATTTACATAAGCATATAAAATCACACATTGTTGAAGATGTAAAATGTACATATAAAATGTATGACAAATGTAATGTTTGTGAAAAGACATTCAACCAATATACTGATTTTGAAAATCATATAAAAACACATATAAAAGAAAAATTTCATGTATGTGATAGATGTGGCCAGTGTTTTTCAAGAAATAGTTGCCTTCAGGAGCATATGAGAATTCATACTGGAGAAAGACCATACAAGTGTAAAACATGTGGTAAAAGTTTTACGCATAGCAGTACTCTGCGAAGACATCGAACAATTCATAGTGGAAAACGGCCTTATGTTTGTAATGTTTGTGGACAAAGATTTACTCAAACTGCTGGCTTGCATAGGCATGAAAGAGTGCATCTTGGTGAATGTTATTTTTGTGATATATGCAAAAAAACTTATACTAGGAAAACTGGTCTCTTATTACATTATGAAAGAAGACATGTTGATAAAAATCATACATGTAAATTATGTGGTAAAGAATTTTCAAAGAACATTGAACTAAAGAAACATAGCAACTGTCATATTAAAAAGGTAACAGATAATTTCATTTATATACTTTTTAAAATAATAAATAAGGTAAATTTTTCGTCTCCCATACTTCTGGAGTGTAAAGGAGATGAAGTTAATTTATTATGAACTGCTAATTTTAATTGCAGCAGGCACACTGTTGAATTTTGTTTAATATGAGTAAAATATTAAAATGATACTTATATAAATTATAACAGTAATATGAAATATATAAATTATATTTCATATTAATATAATAATGTTTATGTGAATTATGTAAATTATATTTATGATTAAATATAATAGGATGTTTATATAAATAATAAAATTTATAATAAAAAATATAGCTTTATTGTTAGAAAAATGATTCTTAATTCATTTAAAGAATCATCCATTCTTTGAATAAATGTTTTAGAATAGTTTAAAGAATTTATAACTTTTATGGACAATCTTCAAAATTAGTTTGGTGATACAATGGCAACAGAAGCAACTCAATGGCAATTTGAAAGCTTTAAGTATAATAACTTTAATAAAAGTTGGAATTAATATGAGCAGAGACAGCAAATCATTGAATTTATTTTTCAATTTCTTTAATTTCCAAAATATGTCTGTAAATGATTGACTTGGAGTACAGATCAGTTTGTATTTCAAATTCTAACTGGAATTATTTATGAGAAATTTAAAGCAATGTGTTTTTAGCTGTAATTTTATGGAATTAACTATCATGATATTTAATTTTTATTTCATTTTTTGTTAACAATAGATGTCTTTACTTTGAGAGGACTATAGTCTATATTTTTAAGAATCAATTTCAAACTTTTCTTATTGATATTTTGGTATTATAATCACTTTAAGTATTAAAGTATAGTTGCTTTGTTTGTGTAATAAATTTATAATTTTTAGCCACATATGATCATAAATTGGTAAGATATCAGGCATTTGTCTTATTAGAGAAATGAATAAACAGCAGTGATGTAACAAATATTCGGTTACTATTCGCTATTTGGCCGAACACCGAATACCTAAAAACTGGAGTAAGAAATAACAAAAACACAGTAAATTAATCATTTTGGTATTTAGATTTAATGTTGTCAGGTTAGTGTTGTTTGTTTATATTTATTTATAACTTATAACATGCACAAAATAAAAAAATAATAATATTAGTCACATGTATTCACAATTTATAATTACAAAGATCAACACACGTACAGACCTATTCATTCGAGAATCGTCGCACACGTGTTAGGGTCTGACCCTGCCTATCCTTTTTAAGCGCTCATCTTTGCTATTTCCTTTCTCTTTCCTCCATCTCTCTAGTTCACGTATGCCTATGCATAAATCATAATACACGCTCACAATACTTTCAATTCGTCACTTTTCCGTCATAGTTTTTCCATTTTATAATTACGTGACTCATAGCCTGGTGATAATGGAGAAAAGAGACAGATAGGACGTCGGTATATGTCACAGTTATGATTTCACAGATTCGAGACAGCTTGGTAGCCCGAACGGTCCCAGGCTTTCTCCCATGCACACTAAATGACTTTCATTACAAGCATTTAGCTTTCCAAAGTCTATGACAACAATTGTTTGGCATTGACGGCTGCAAATTTCACTCCAATAAGCTGCTTCAACTTATTTGATTATGTTATCAACTCAATTTCATATTTATTTTCACATTTTCACTTTACGGTCCTTCTCTGTTCTTTTTCCGTTATTTACACGTGTAGGTCATTTCATTGTTATTCACATCATTTATCGCATACTGCCACGACGCTTTCTTGTCTGTCTGCTACAACTGTCAAGAATTAACATGATTGGCAAAGCGTAGTGACAGCAGGTCAATAGAGAGCAGGGTCCTTGCCGTAATGAGGTTTGCGCGCCAATCTTCGTACATGCGTTAATCAAGCCGAATAGTTTGGCTAAATATTTGGTATTCGTTGCAACACTAATAAACAGTGATAAAGTGAATTAGCAATGTAACATTACATTCATATGTGAAAAATCACAAAAGTGATAAAAGGGTTTAAATTTTAAGTTCATTATTTGAAAAGTTTAATATAGTAACTCCTCATTATATTGTGCATATTGGGAGACAAACTAAATGAATGATATATCAGATGACATGATATAACTGAAGTAGCCATTCCTGTTTTGTTGCTTTTTGATTTCCATGCCACTTACTTTTTGTGGGTTGTATTTCATATAGTTTTAGTTTCAAGGTTAATGATAAAATAAGATAATATTTCTTTGTGAGTAGAATTTAATGACATTTGATTTTTTCAAAATTATTGCTTAAGGTAGTTTTGTATATGGAAGACGAAAAAAAGCATGTATCCGAATGAGTAGTATAATGAGGAGCTACTGTATTTGTATATACAATAATTTCTCAATGTAATTAATACAATCTACAAAACTGGTGCATAGTTGACAGATGATATTGCCAGATTTTAATTGGACTATAATAATTATAAAAATTACATAATTCAGGATAAATGTAGATGGTTAAACCTCATAATTAATTAGTTGTATTATAATCTAATTAAAATATGGCAGTGTTGTTTATTGGGCTGCAATTTTAAAAAATTGTAGACCTATAAATTTCCATCCAATTTCCTTAATCTCGAGAACTGAGTTAGATATATGAAAGACAAGGCCAGATATGAAAACCTTAGAGACAGGAGGCCCTGATTATGATATATGAACTTCCAATACAAATTGGAAATCACGTTATTTCAATTCAAAACTTTTCTCTTGAAAGGAGTTAGTTAGAGGAACAGCATGACTCTATTGTTAAAGGAAAAGTATGATGTATAGGAGCAAGCCAATACTAATTTGAGGTGGAGAGCATATATTTTAAATTAAATAAATTATAAATATGATTAAAACTGCAGCCCGTCATTGTAATGATGTTACAATAAATAATTGCTTGTTTTATATATAATTGAATAATGAAATCAATACTATTTAGTCTAATTAATCCCAGCACTTTTAGAATGTTTACTGATTTTATCCAGTATATGGCAATGGATGACTAGGCAACATAAAATGACTAATTTTATAACACAGTTTCCAGTAATCTGAGTAGCTCACAGTCAATGCTTTTCATTTGGTAATACAGTCACTTCTCCTTTAATGCAATATGTATGTTTCAAAAAAACTCTGCATTCTACATTTTGCATTATTAGACCAACAGGACTAATGGAAAGTTTAGAGTTAAGGACAGAACACTCAAAACCTGTAGTCTTTCAAAATACTTTATTATTTCAAGTTTTTTGAAACTTATTTTCTATTTGTTTCATGTTTGGATTCTTACAACTAGGACACTGATTTATGTTTAGGGTACTTTGCTAATTAGTTTTATCAAGAAAAATACACAGAATTGTGAACAGCATGATAACAAACTTGCAGAATCAACATGAGTAAATTTGGATAAGAGAAAGGTGATGTGCATAATGTTGTGTATTCCTTCACAGATCAGTTTGGTGATTTTTTTTTATGTTTACTTGATTTTACTTTGTAGGAAAGTGGATAACAATATTATAAAAATCATATAATGAGCAAATATTATTAATTGCATTTTGATGAATTTATTTATCATCAAAACACACATGAATAGATTTATGCATTAGAAATACATGTTATTACAGAAGAGGCTGTACTTATAATTAATTAATTAAATTATCAAGATTAATGAATTTGAAAAATTTGAGAAAGTTTTAAAAGTTATGGCCTCAAATAAAAGTTTAAGATAATCAGCAATAAAAAGATTTGGTGAGTAAAACACAATAATAAATACAAAATATAGACTGTGCTCTTAAAATTTTATCTCACAAGGATCTGGCATGAAAAATTAATTATTTCTTTCAAACTTCATGGAAACTGCAAGAGATATTTCTTTGCACTTCTAAGCCTCCATCACATAAAAATGTAGAATAAGAGTGTAAGCCTAAATTTTACTTAATAGAATGAATTTATAAAATATTAAATTATCAAAAGGTGACAATTTCACAAAATACAGCCAAAATTTGGCCAAATGGTTTTTGCCTATTGTAATCAATCATGGCTAAGTAATTTTCCAAATGACTAATTTCGAGAAATTTGGCTGTAAATTTAGCCAGAGGACAACACTTTGTTTTGCATGCATTTTTATTCAAACTGTTTGCTAAGTATGTGCTGATAGCTTCAAACTATGAATATATTTTCCAAAATAATGTCATTAATTGAGTTTTTACCTATAATTTAAAACATATCATTTTATGAATTACAATTCAAGGAAGACGAAGAACTAATCGAGGAATTATTGTATAAATATGCTAAGGTGCTCCTCATCTGATTTTTTTTGGCAGTCCAATCCTGCTATTCTCTCACTTTGCCAGTGGCATGCCATGACATTTGATGATAGGGAAGTTGTGTTTCTGTAAGAAGCCGACTTTCAGGGGCAATCAGTTAATTGCACGTCCGTGATGGTCTAGGGTCCATTCGTATCGTTTGTTTGATAAGCCAGTAAAAACCATAGACTTCTCTAAATGTATTTTTAATATCACAATTACATTCTGAAACACTGGCCATGATATAAGGGCTAAAATTTAAAATAAAATTATAAAAACTTACTTGATGAAATAAAATGTGTGATGGATGTACAGTATATACCTGGTACAAAATATTCTTCAATTGTATGAATATACTTTTAAAGAAAATTATAATTAAATATAACTTTGTAAATAAACATACATAAAAATAACATAAAATCTTCTTTACTTTTTAAATCTTGAAACAATCCACTTAGTCAAATAGCTCCCTACAAGTGGAATTGGAGATGGTCCTGGTAAGTGTGCAATGCATGCATGCATGTGGGCTGCCAAATCCTGAGGGTGCTGATACCGGTTAATGTCAAATGCCTCTTTTGTCGCATCTCAAAGGATGCGATAGGGTTGTTGTAAATTTTTTTCGTTTCTCACCATAGTTGTAAAAATCTACATATGTTTAACATAATACTAAGTAGATTGTCTGTCATTTGTTTT